TTTTAAAATATTACAAATTTTATTTAATAAAAATTTAATACATACTTATATGATGAAAACTATTTTGATTGCATTCCGCTGGCCTTTTGCTTCAATTATATTTTTATTGTACTTTTATATTAAATTTTATATATTTTATTTTATTTTACATATGCACTTTTAAGGTCTGTTGTATAGTGTAGGGATTTACTTGTCTTATTCGGTCCTTCCGTAATATTTCTGTATTCTAGGTCGCTGCTTTCGTCATGTCCATATGTGAGCTGGATAATATACACACGTTCAGGGTGGATACTAACACCACTTTACTTCAGATATATGCGACACGTGGCAAAAGTTTAGCTAGGCCAAAACTTTGTCTGCATCAAACAGAAATATAAGAAATAAAATACAGACAGTCAATTATAATGAAATAGTGAAATGAGGGAGTCACACATAAGATATGCTAACTCGACATATTGAAATGAGTAACTAAATAGGAAATAGAAGTTCAAGTGCCCCTTCGACTATGGTAATTGATATCGAATGCATAATTTAGTATTCACAATTTTATATCAGAGGCAGTTGACCCGACGCTCGACTGGGTTTGTGTCAAGAATTTGACATGAGACTCGTGCGATTACATACATATGTTACATATGACTCTACATAATATATTTGTATATGTATGTAGTTGTCTCTGATGTTGTCTTTATCTTTTGTAGTGCAGTTGACACTCTCACAAATTAATAACAATTGACGCAATGCATTGAGCATGCGAGTAAATTGTTGCAGTCGAGGCGCGTCTTTTAGTTTTTGCGTGGGCATTTACACAAATAGAGAAGCTGCAGCAGCTATGTCTAGAATACAAAAGAAAGTCGAGTAGAAATTAGTTGAACAATAAACGTTGTGTGCTTGAGTGTGAGTGTGCGTGTACGTGTGTGTGTGTAAGTGTGACCAGGAAGAAATGTGAAAAGTCTGTCGCATCACACTTGACTATGTTTTTAAACAGGAGCGGAATCATCAGAGGGTGGGCCCAAACTTATAATAGAATGTAGTTGATAATTACTGTTTGATCAAATAAATAAAAACTTTATGTAAGTTAAATATTGTCACACAAATTATAAAACACTTTATATATGTGTATTAGGGAAGGTAATAATGATAATAATACAAAAAAATAAAAATAAATAAAAATTAATAAAATAATAGTGCCTGCTTGTCTGAAACACTGAGTTATTCCTGTGATTTCCGAGTTTTGGCTTCACGTTTCTCCTCTACAGTATTTACGTTATTATTAAGCTTATATTGTTATTATTCTTCTATTCAATATTCGCCATTTAGATTTATTCTTTAATGGACTAAACACTATTCCACTCTCAGCTTACCGCCCATGAAAATTAATTTGGAACGCATTTTAATCAAGTTTCATCGTACTTTTTAACACAATTCCATATTAATTGCAACATTTAAACATCAGTTAACAATTTTCCTGAATTTTCGTAAACTTCGCACTGCTCCCGCCGCTCGACATGCACTTGACTGGCGATACAATGCATTTGCATTGGCATCTGACACCGCTGACCTCTCGCGGCGTCTATTGTTGCGATCAATGCGATTGTCTGTCCGTTAATTGCATTTGCTGCATAAGCGACACAACTGAAACATAAATAATTGTAAATTATTATTCAATTCACATTTCTGTCGTCAAATTGTGCTTTATTGAGATGCTGTTGTGGGCTATTGTTGTTACTTGTTGTTGTTTGTTTTGTTTGTTGGCCTCTGCAGTTGCAAGCTGTGGACACTGGTGGGGTGCAAGATTTCAAACGTTAAATTGCATTTATACCCATTAAATATGTTTAATCGGGGTATATTTTTTTTGGTCAAATTTAAAAATAATTAATTATAGTATTTAAAAAATTTGGTTTGCACTTTGTTATTAAAATTAAAAATGTCCAAAATAGTATAAATAGTATAAATATAAAAAAATAATTAAAATAAGCTAATTTTAAACATAGTTTTTACTTAT